ATAGTCTAGCTAGCTACATTTTTCAGATATTACGTTTCTAATTTTGACAGAAAGTGGTTTCATTTCAAGTTAAAGTGTACTGTTAGCTAGCTAGCTAACGTTAGCTGGCTGGCTCGCTAGCTAACGTTATGTGAATGCTCTTATTATTCGTATCTCAGAGGCATTTGCTTGCTAACAGTGAACCTGGTTGGTTAGCTACCTGCAGATTCATGCAGAGTAGGAAAGTCATGAGTTGGGATTATGGTTCATTGTTTAACTAGCTAGCTAACGTTAGCTTTCTGGCTCGCTAGCTAACGTTAAGTGTATGCTCTTATTATTCATATATCAGAGCCATTTGCTTCCTAACATTGAACCTGGTTGGTAAGCTACCTGCAGATTCATGCAGGGTAGTAACGCCATGAGTTGGTATTATGGTTCATTGTTTAGCTAGCTAGCTAACGTTAGCTGGCTGGCTCGCTAGCTAACGTTACATGTATGATTTGACACGTTGTTTACCTAGCTAGGTTCATTGTTTATCTAGCTAGCTAGCTAGCTAGCTACCTACATGTCTTAACAAAAGACTACTATGCAAGTAACCATTTCAGGTGCGTTCGTAAATTCAGTCTGAGTATGCCAGAGCGCAGAATAACTGATGAATTTACAAACGCACACCACCCGTTGAACATGGCCGGTGTCAGTAAACTTTGGCAAAAAAAGCGTAATTAAAATTGTTACAGTCACCAACAGTTACAGTCACCAATGCTTTGGATAACATGAAAACAGCCTAACCAGCTCTGCTAGGGTGAGTAAAATGGTCAGTGGGGTGCTGGTTAGGCTGTTTTCATGTTATCCAGAGGTAAACAATTAACCATAATCCCAATTTTGTGTCTGGAAGTAGCTAGCAAGCTAGCCAATGTTAGCCAGTTAGCTTGGGTGCTTGACTGCCGTTGAGGTCAGAATGCTCGGATCAACCCTACTCATCGGCCAGAGTGTCAAGTGTGCGCTCTGAACGCTCCGAGAGCGAAACAAGATGGGTGGGGCTAAAGCTTAAGAGGGTGTGAACGATGCTGAATGGGTGTAGACAAATAAGAGCTATTCAGTAGGTACCAAAACATTCAAAGGCCAATTTCTCAAAGTGAGATTACAAGTTTATCAACTTTCAAAGCAGAATTACTTAACAATTTTTCCCTTAAATGCAGTGTATGATATACCATTTTGTAGCTCTGTGTCTCTGCTTTTATCCAATGTAAAAAACACAATTTCAAATTTTGCTACATAAGACCGAATCAAGGCGGTCGTTCACATTTAGCAGACGTTCTTATATTGAACATTAAACATTTCTAAAATATAGAGGGATTATGTACAGCAACTCTTGACATGATAAAATACATTATAATTGGTGCAGCGGGTACCGTAAATAACACATCTTATCCGTTAAATGCTAATTATGGGTTACAAGTGAACTGAATTATTGGTCAACTCATTAACCATACAAACCTGTGTTATAAACATGACATACCTATACCTGTCATATAAGGTTAGGTTAGAGTTCATGCACAGAGCAGAGGACAATCTCTCCAACTGTGGCATTCATTCATACAGTTTGTCATCTAGTGATGAAAAGCTCATCAAATGCAGTGCCATACTCTTCCCTGAATCAATTATTCACTAAGTCAATGTTCTTGCTAGAAGTGGAAAAAGTGGTTTTAACCTTTGATACAAATGCAAAACGTTTGACCAACAAGGGAATTTCCAAGACAGCAATTCAGTTCCAAGAAAGCCATGTAACTAGCTATATACAGTGAGGGAAAAAAAGTATTTGATCCCCTGCTGATTTTGTACGTTTGCCCACTGACAAAGAAATGATCAGTCTATAATTTTAATGGTAGGTTTATTTGAACAGTGAGAGACAGAATAACAACAAAAAAATCCAGAAAAACGCATGTCAAAAATGTTATAAATTGATTTGCATTTTAATTAGGGAAATAAGTATTTTCCCCCCTCTCAATCAGAAAGATTTCTGGCTCCCAGGTGTCTTTTATACAGGTAACAAGCTGAGATTAGGAGCACACTCTTAAAGGGAGTACTCCTAATCTCAGTTTGTTACCTGTATAAAAGACACCTGGCCACAGAAGCAATCAATCAATCAGATTCCAAACTCTCCACCATGGCCAAGACCAAAGAGCTCTCCAAGGATGTCAGAGACAAGATTGTAGACCTACACAAGGCTGGAATGGGCTACACGACCATCGCCAAGCAGCTTGGTGAGAAGGTGACAACAGTTGGTGTGATTATTCGCAAATGGAAGAAACACAAAATAACTGTCAATCTCCCTCGGCCTGGGGCTCCATGCAAGATCTCACCTCGTGGAGTTGCAATGATCATGAGAACGGTGAGGAATCAGCCCAGAACTACACGGGAGGATCTTGTCAATGATCTCAAGGCAGCTGGGACCATAGTCACCAAGAAAACAATTGGTAACACACTACGCCGTGAACGAATGAAATCCTGCAGCGCCCCCAAGGTCACCCTGCTCAAGAATGCACATATACAGGCCCGTCTGAAGTTTGCCAATGAACATCTGAATAATTCAGAGGAGAACTGGGTGAAAGTGTTGTGGTCAGATAGACCAAAATCGAGCTCTTTGGCATCAACTCAACTCGCCGTGATTGGAGGAGGAGGAATGCTGCCTATGACCCCAAGAACACCATCCCCACCGTCAAACATGGAGGTGGAAACATTATGCTTTGGGGGTGTTTTTCTGCCAAGGGGACAGGACAACTTCACCGCATCAAAGGGACGATGGACGGGGCCATGTACCGTCAAATCTTGGGTGAGAACCTCCTTCCCTCAGCCAGGGCATTGAAAATGGGTCGTGGATGGGTATTCCAGCATGACAATGACCCAAAACACACGGCCAAGGCAACAAAGGAGTGGCTCAAGAAGAAGCACATTAAGGTCCCTGAGTGGCCTAGCTAGTCTCCAGACCTTAATCCCATAGAAAATCTGTGGAGGGAGCTGAAGGTTCGAGTTGCCAAACGTCAGCCTCGAAACCTTAATGACTTGGAGAAGATCTGCAAAGAGGAGTGGGACAAAATCCCTCCTGAGATGTGTGCAAACCTGGTGGCCAACTACAAGAAACGTCTGACCTCTGTGATTGCCAACAACAAGTACTGAGTCATGTTTTGCAGAGGGGTCAAATACTTATTTCCCTCATTAAAATGCAAATCAATTCATAACGTTTTTGGCATGCGTTTTTCTGGATTTATTTGTTGTTATTCTGTCTCTCACTGTTCAAATAAACCTACCATTAAAATTATAGACTGATCATGTCTTTGTCAGTGGGCAAACGTACAAAATCAGCAGGGGATCAAATACTTTTTTCCCTCACTGTATATCAAATCTAATTTTCCATCTATGCATTCATTGGAAGAATTCCATAATGTGATGTAGGGGTGATTAGTTTGATTGGAAGAAATGGAGCACAGCTCTCTAAGTGAGTTAGCCCCTGGTGTCTTCCCCTGTGCAAACCAAGGGACCTACAGTAATTAAGCCTGTTGTCAATCCAGGAAAACAGAGTGGTTGTGAAGATCGCAGATTCAATACTCCATAACATCCCACAGGCCATGGATGATTAACTCAGAGGGCAGAGCATAACGCTGATTTACATTCCACCTCAGTACTTCATTGAACAATCAATGTCTGCTAAGAATAAATCAGACATAGGCCCCATAGGATTCTACTAGACAAATACTGACTGAGAGGAACTGTAGGTACAGTAAGGTTGAAAACCAGTGGACTAGAAGGCCAGTAAACTGCTGTATAGGAGAGGTGCTTTGCAAATTATGCTAATGTAAGGACATCACGCTGCTTGCTTGGTGAGTACCACGTCCTCCTGATTCGGCTCACAAAGAGGCTTGAACCCAGGACCTATGCCTTGCTTGCACACATGACGGCCCACCTGAAGCATCTTACCAGTCGGTGCCATGCGAAAAGCTAGCTAGTCGGTGGCGCAAGTGGGGACACTTCAGGCTGAGGAGTACGTTTCACACATCCCCATGTGCTACACTAAGAGGGAATACAGTTGCTCTAAAGTGAAAATAAAACAATATTTTCCATCCTCCTTGGTGTGAGAAGCCCTTGACCTAGGGGGTTGTGGGTCGACTGGCTAAATAAACAAATGTAATCACCCAAAAGCAGCTACTTCCATTGGATTCAATGAAGCTGAGACAGACTTGGCCATGAGTATTAACATCATCATCATCACGCTGTACGGTCCAAGGACTATAACTACCAATGAGCAGAGAAAAATAATACACTGCCAGGGAGGGTCATTCATGGCATGATGTTATTAACAGCTGCATTGGGATATTTAAAGCCTCTTTTCATCTCAGCATGGATGGCTGTTGAAATTAGCTTTGGCCTGGGAAGAGACTATAAGGGCCAAAGACATCATCATTCCCACTAAATGAAGAGACTGAGTCAGTCAGACTGAGAGGACGGATGTTCTCATCACACAAAGTTAAGAGTCCTTTAGCTGCTTGTCTTATAGCAGGTCATATCTTACAGTAGGAGAGGAGTAGAGGGAATGAGTAAAGGGGCTAGATGAAGATACAAACATGTGTGATAAAGAACAAAACGCATGGCCATTCAATGTGAAATGACCCTGAACTATACATTTCCAAAACCTAAAAAGGAGGAAGAAATCTATCAAAAATGTTTTGAAATCAAAATGATCAAATGTATGCTGTGTTTGGAATGATACAAAATGACAAAGATACATTCCTTCTCATCCTCTCCTCGCCATCCTGGGTTCTAGGCCTCCAGGAGGGCGTGCCAGCGACAGACCTGCTGGCCTTTACACTCCTTCATGTCCAGCCAGTGCAGCTGCTCCTCCTCCCCGCTGCTGTTCTGGCCCAGGGCGAGCCAGCCCACCATCTCCTTACCCTTCATGCTGCACCGTTTGTAGATGGACACCATGAGGGTGACGTCAGACAGCTGACAGTCTCCATCTCTCCCCCCTACAAGCTCAGCCCCCCAAGGCGGAGCACCTTCTCCCCCATCATGTGCTCGAGGGACATGCTGCCCACCAGGGCGTAGAGGTGGAAGCGCAGGGCAGAGTCGCCAAGCTCCGAGGGGTCCAAGCAGGAAAAGCGGAAGGTCTCGTTGAATTCAGGCACTGACCCCTTCTGGACGGAGGTCTTATGGCACTGCTTCTTTGTCGGGAGCAGGACCACGTGCACCTGCCACGAGTCCATCCCACTGCGGCCTTTGTTTGGGAGACCCCGCGCCGTCACCACGGTAATCAACAGCTTTTGAGAGGCGGCCTTGTAGTCCAGGGTGACCTCGAGGTCACCACATTTGGTGATAGGGGGGTGGGAGGTGGAGTTGGGGGGGCGAGAGAGGACCTCCTCTACAGGAGGATGCTCCTGCTGAGAGGAGGGGAAACAGAAAACACACACTCAGAACTCAACACAGAAAGCCACTGCTATATGCTCCTTGCGAGAAACTAACATATGAAATAGTCAGCAATGTCATAATTCTAATCACTTGAATTAACATACTGTATTTTGCTGTGTATCAGGCAATGGCAGAATTGACTCCAGTCAAGCAGCTCTTCAAACAGTCAGTAAACACAGCATCGATTGTGTCACCATGTTGACAGAGCAGGCGGAATATTGGTGTTGGCACGGCAACCACGGATCACAGATAAGATCATTGTAGTGGCGGCTACAATATACTGCACAGATCAGGCGTCATGCGCTTTTTCCTTCCCCCGCACTCACTGACATGACAACCTGACTCACAATGTTAGCCACGACTCAAATGATCCAAAACAAACAATATACAATTATGCTAACAATTTCCTTCCATTCATGTGTATCTGTATGTGCTGTTCCATTCACATAAATATATTTAATGTGGAAAGTACCCAGTAAGCACATTTGGTTCCTTGGAAGTTGTGGGAACGTACGTTTTTGGTTTCCCATTGGTTCTGGGAACGAACTCGTACGTTTCCCAACCAGTAAAACTGAACGTTCTGAGAACAATGGTGAAAATATCGGCTGTTCTGGGAATGTTAATTTTTAGGTTGCAGGGAGGTTCTGAGAACGTTTTACTATGAGTCCCTGAAAGTTTTCCTGGGAGGTTTTATTAATGTTCTGAGAATGGACATTTTAGGTTATTTGAAGATAATTAAATAACGTTCCGAGAAAACAAAATGTAAAGGTTATTTTGAGGATTTTGAATAACTTCCTTAAAACTTTAACTGAAAGTCAGTAAGACTTTTAATAACACTGCTAGCTTAGTTTAACTGTTTTGAACTCCAAGCACAGATAGGACACATATACATTCATTTGCTTAGGCATTAATCATGCAAACACATTTATTTTTAACTCATACAAAGCTGTTCATTTTAGTCTATTCAAACAGTACCTATTTCAAAGTAAACAAGCACTCATTAAGGGCAGGTGTGCACAATTAGTGGAGCAGCCAACACACGAACACACTTAACAAGATAGAGAATCGTTTTGTTGACGCTGAGAACAGAATGTATATGTTTTTTAATAACTTAGAACGTTACTAATGTTTTCTTGTGATTTTTATGGAACGTTTTCTTGTTGGAGAATGTTCCTAGAACATTACCAAAATTAAATGTACAATTTCTGAACATTTAGGAAACGTTCTGTGAAAGTAATGAAATACCAACATTTTTATATTTGTCAAGTTCCTTAAATATGCTGAGAATATTCCAAAGCCAAGCAACTATCCTGCACCATTCCCAGAAAGTTGTGGGAAGGTTGTATGCAAAATAACCATAGAACAACCACGCTCTCACCAAGCTCTAAGAAAATCTATATGCTGGGTCTTCTATGAAAAGAGTGCAAAAGGGACTCTTTTCATGGAAAGACACAACTAATAGATATCCCAGCTAGCACATACCGTTCTGAGAACCATATGTTTCTTAGAGCTTGGTGAGAGCATGGTTGTCCTATGGTTGTGTCACTTCTAAGATTTGAAATACAAAATTGTGCACCAATATGCTAAAGTGCCAAAATTCTGCATTTTGACATGTCCCTCTGTCAACCTTGTGTCAGTCCTAGGAAGATTTCTACCCATTTAATTTTTAAAAATCTCAACGTTTCACCATAATTGTAAAGCCCTAGTTATTTTGTTGCTTTGCCAAAGTCATTTCTGAAGATTATTATTATTTTATTTTTTAAATTGTATTTATTTAACCTTTATTTAACCAGGTAAGCCAGTTGAGAACAAGTTCTCATTTACAACCCTCGACCTGGCCAAGATAAAGCAAAGCAGTGCGATAAAAACAACAACAACACAGAGTTACATATGGAATAAACAAAACGTAAAGTCAATAACACAATAGAAAATCTATATACAGTGTGTGCAAATGTAGTAAGTTATGGAGGTAAGGCAATAAATAGGCCATTGTGCAAAATAATTACAATTTAGTATTAACACTGGAGTGATAGATGTGCAGAAGATGATGTGCAAAAAGAGATCCTGGAGTACAAATGAGCAAAATAAATAACTATGTAAATAACTATATGGGGATGAAGTAATTGGGTGGGCTAATTACAGATCGGCTGTGTACAGGTGCAATGATCGGTAAGCTGCTCTGACAACTGATGCTTAAAGTTAGTGAGGGAGATAAGTGTCTCCAGCTTCAGAGATTTTTGCAGTTCGTTCCAGTCATTTGCAGCAAATGGCGGCCAAAGGAGGTGTTGGCTTTGGGGATGACCAGTGAGATATACCTGCTGGAACGCATACTACGGGTGGGTAGTCCCGTGTAACTCAGTTGGTAGAGAATGGCGCTTGCAACGCCAGGGTTGTGGGTTCAATTCCCACAGGGGGCCAGTATGAAAAAAATAAAATAAATTAAAATAATGTATACACTCACTAACTGTAAGTCGCTCTGGATAAGAGCATCTGCTAAATGACTCAAATGTTTAAAAAAATGTTGCTATGGTGACCAATGATCTAAGATAAGGCGGGGATTTGCCTAGAAGTGATTTATAGATGACCTGGAGCCAGTGGGTTTGGCGATGAATGTGTAGTGAGGGCCAGCCAATGAGAGGATACAGGTCACAATGGTGGGTAGTATATGGGGCTTTGGTGACAAAACGGATGGCACTGTGATAGACTACATCCAATTTGCTGAGTAGAGTGTTGGAAGCTATTTTGTAAATGACATCGCCGAAGTCAAGGATTGGTAGGATAGTCAGTTTTACGAGGGCATGTTTAGCAGCATGAGTGAAGGAGGCTTTGTTGCGAAATAGGAAGCCGATTCTAGATTTAACTTTGGATTGGAGATGCTTAATGTGAGTCTGGAATGAGAGTTTACGGTCTAACCAGACACCTAGGTATTTGTAGTTATATTCTGAGTCAGACCCGCCGAGAGTAATGATTCTAGTCGGGCGGGCGCAAACAGCGTTCGATTGAAGAGCATGCATTTAGTTTTACTAGCGTTTAAGAGCAGTTGGAGGTTACGGAAGGAGTGTTGTATGGCATTGAAGCTCGTTTGGAGGTTTGTTAACACAGTGTCCAATGAAGGGCCAGATGTATACAAAATGGTGTCATCTGCATAGAGGTGGATCTGAGAGTCACCAGCAGCAAGAGTGACATCATTGATATACACAGAGAATAGAGTCGGCCCGAGATTTTAACCCTGAGGCACCCCCATAGAGACTGCCAGAGGTCCAGACAACAGGCCCTCCGATTTGACACATTTAACTCAATCTGAGAAGTAGTTGGTGAACCAGGCGAGGCAGTCATTTGAGAAACCAAGGCTATTTAGTCTGCCAATACGAATGCGGTGATTGACAGAGTCAAAAGCCTTGGCCAGGTCGATGAAGACGGTTGCACAGTACTGTCTTTTATCGATCGCGGTTATCATATCGTTTAGGACCTTGAGCGTGGCTGAGGTGCACCCATGACCAGCTCGGAAACCAGATTGCATAGCGGAGAAGGTACGGTGGGATTCGAAATGGTCGGTGATCTGTTTGTTAACTTGGCTTTCAAATACTTTTGAAAGGCAGGGCAGGATGGATATAGGTCTGTAACAGTTTGGATCTAGAGTGTCACCCCCTTTGAAGAGGGTGATGACTGCGGCAGCTTTCCAATCTCTGGGGATCTCAGACGATACGAAAGAGAGGTTGAACAGGCTAGTAATAGGGGTTTGCGACAATTTCGGCAGCTAATTTTAGAAAAAAAGGGTCCAGATTGTCTAGCCCAGCTGATTTGTAGGGGTCCAGATTTAGCAGCTCTTTCAGAACATCAGCTCTCTGAATTTTGGTGAAGGAGAAGCGGGCGGCATGGGCAAGTTGCAGTGGAGGGTGCAGAGCTGGTGGCCGGGGTAGGGGTAGCCAGGTGGAAAGCATGGCCAGCCGTAGCAAAATGTTTATTGAAATTCTCGATTGTTGTAGATTTATCGGTGGTGACAGTGTTTCCTAGCCTCAGTGCAGTGGGTAGCTGGGAGGAGGTGCTCTTTTTCTCCATGGACTTTACAGTGTCCCAAAACTTTTTGGAGTTAGTGCTACAGGATGCACATTTCTGTTTGAAAAAGCTAGCCTTTACTTGGTTCCTGACTTCCCTGAAAAGTTGCATATCACGGGGGCTGTTCGATGCTAATGCAGTACGCCACAGGATGGTTTTGTGCTAGTCAAGGGCAGTCAAGTCTGGGGTGAACCAAGGGCTATATCTGTTCGTAGTTCTGAATTTTTTGAATGGGGCATGCGTATTTAAGATGGAGAGGAAAGCACTTTTGAAGAACATCCAGGCATCCTCTACTGACGGAATGAGGTCAATATCCATCCAGGATACCCGGGCCAGGTCAATTAGAAAGGCCTGCTCGCTGAAGTGTTTTGGGGAGCGTTTGACAGTGATGAGGGGTGGTCATTTGACCGCGGACCCATTACGGACGCAGGCAATGAGGCAGTGATCGCTGAGATCCTGGTTGAAGACAGCGGAGGTGTATTTAGAGGGTAAATTAGTCAGGATGATATCTATGAGGGTGCCCATGTTTACGGATTTAGGGTTGTACCTGGTAGGTTCCTTGATAATTTGTGTAAGATTGAGGATATCTAGTTTAGATTGTAGGATGGCCGGGGTGTTAAGCATATCCCAGTTTAGGTCACCAAGCAGTACGAACTCTGAGAATAGATGGGGGCAAGCAATTCACATATGGTGTCCAGGGCACAACTGGGCGCTAAGGGGGGTCTGTAGCAAGCGGCAACAGTGAGAGACTTATTTCTGGAATGGTGGATTTTTAGAAGTAGAAGCTCAAACTGTTTGGGCACAGACCTGGATAGTATGATAGAGCTCTGCAGGCTCTCTCTATAGTAGATTGCAACTCCGCCCCCTTTGGCAGTTCTATCTAGACGGAAAATGTTGTCGTTCGGAATGGAAATTTCTGAATTTTTGGTGGCCTTCCTAAGCCAAGATTCAGACACTGCTAGAACATCAGGGTTGGCGGAGTGTGCTAACGCAGTGAATAACTCAAACTTGGGGAGGAGACTTCTGATGTTAACATGCAAGAAACCAATGCTTTTATGGTTACAGAAGTCAACAAATGATAGCGCCTGGGGAGAAGGAGTGATACTGGGGGCTACAGGGCCTGGGTTAACCTATACATCACCAGAGGAACAGAGGAGGAATAGAATAAGGATACGGCTAAAGGCTTTAAGAACTGGTCTTCTAGTGCGTTGGGTACAGAGAATAAAAGGGGCAGATTTCCGGGCGTTGTAGAATAGATTCAGGGCATTATGTACAGACAAGGATATGAGTACAGTGGAGGTACAACTAAGCATTGGGTAACTATGAAAGAGATAGCATCACTGGAGGCACCGATTGAGCCGGTCTCCGCGTGTATGGGGGGTGGGACAAAGGAGCTCTCTGAGGCTGGTTGAGCTGAACTTGGGGCTCTACAGTGAAATTGTATAATAAGAACTAACCCAAACAGCAATAGGCTAGGCATATTGACATGGGAGAGAGGCATAACGCAATCACAGGTGTTATTCGAGAGGGCTAAGACAACAACTGGTAATGACGACGAAAGTTTGGGCTGAGGCTAAACAGATAAACAGGATGGGGTACCGTGTAAAGGAACAGTCCAGCAGGCATTAGCTGTGCAGCTGAGTGATCATAAGGTCCAGTGAACAGCACCACGTAAGTCCGGGAGCAGATCGTAGGCTGCTAAAGCACAGGCGAGCAGGAGGCTCGGCTGTTGATTGCGCATGCTAGCGGGCCGGGGCTAGCAGATGGATCTTCGTGGTCGTCGCAACGGGAAGCCTGTTGAAACCACATCAGACGATTACGTCGGCAGACCAGTCGTGATGGATCGGCGGGGCTTCGTGTCGACACTAGGAGGTCCCATCCGGTTGACAGAGGTAGATAGCCGGGAGATGGGCCTGGCTCGAGGCTAGCTCATGGCTAACTGGTACGTCGGGAAGTGGTGATTAGCCAACAACAGCCATTCGGTTGCAGCTAGCTAGTTGCGATAGTCCGGTGTTAAGGTCCAGTGATTCAGTGATTCCGGCAGAAAATCCGATATGCTCTGGGTCAATAGTACGCTGTGCAGACTGGCTGATAATTGTCCAGGCTAGCTGCAACCGAATGGCTGTTGTTGGCTAATCACCACTTCCCGACGTACCAGTTAGCCTTGAGCTAGCCTCGAGCCAGGCCCATCTCCTGGCTATCTACCTCTATGTCCACCGGACGGGACCTCCCTTTAAGAGTGTGCTCCTAATCTCAGCTCGTTACCTGTATAAAAGACAACTGGGAGCCAGAAATCTTTCTGATTGAGAGGGGGTCAAATACTTATTTCCCTCATTAAAATGCAAATCAATTTATAAAATGTTTGACATGCGTTCTTCTGGATTTTTGTTGTTGTTATTCTGTCTCTCACTGTTCAAATAAACCTACCATTAAAATTATAAACTGATCATTTCTTTGTCAGTGGGCAAACGTACAAAATCAGCAGGGGATCAAATACTTTTTTCCCTCACTGTATGTTTTTGTAACAAATATTTTTTTTGTACCCCTTATCCAATTGGTAGTTACAGTCTTGTCCCATCGCTGCAACTCCCATACGGACTCGGGAGAGGCGAAGGTCGAGAGCCATGCGTCCTCTGAAACACGACCCTGCCAAGCCGCACTGTTTCTTGACATACTGCTCGCTTAACCCGAAAGCCAGCTGCACCAATGTGTCGGAGGAAACACTGTACAACTGGTGACCGAAGTCAGCTTGCATGCGCCCGGCCCGCCACAAGAGTCGCGATGGGACAAGGACATCCCAGCCGGCCAAACCCTCCCCTAACCCGGACGACGCTGGGCCAATTGTGCGCCGCCTCATGGGTCTCCCGGCCGCTGGCTGTGACACAGCCTTGGATCAAACCCGGTTCTGAAGTGACGCCTCAAGCACTGCGATGCAGTGCCTTAGACCGCTGCGCTACTCGGGAGGCCGAAACTATTATTATTATTAATTTTTTTACAAAAGAAACATTGAACATCTAATAGTCAAATCATAGTGTAAAAGCAGGTGAGCTGCTCCTACAATTTTTTTGCAATTTCCTGGTGTTTTGTGGTGGAAAACTGAGCAGGTCGAGCATAACGTCAACCCTGTTACCCATAGATAAACAGAAAATAAATGTTTAGCAATTACCTATTTTTTTTGTGAAGCTTTCATTCAATTGCCAATTGTTACGGTCAACCCTGTTACTTTCTTTGGCACTTAATAGGCAATGACTATAGTCATTTTTGAGATGGGAAAACTAGTTTTTTATTAAGTTGAACATGAGGTCTCTATGACAGAATGTTATAATTAGGTGAAATCAACGTTTTTTTTTTTACCAAGTTACACTTCTCAAAAGGCTCTGAATTGGTGGAACCACATACCATGTTCTATGTGAGAAAGTGAGTGGGATAAAATGTGAAAGAGGTGAGTAGGATACTCATGCACATATTGCTTTCCATTTCACTGCATGGTTTGGTTGCTAAGAGGCACTTTCATGACAGACACACATACACACACACACAGCGACAAGTTGTCGCAAAATCCCATCTGGGCCTGGGTCTGGGCAGACAATGACATGGGCTGGAAGCCTGCAGTGCTAGCCAGCATCACTCGCTATCACCTCACCCCAACTGGGGCCATAATCAATCATGACACATTAGTGTTTAGCAAAGTAACAGACTAACGCACGAAAAGCCATTAGCAACACTCAGTAACGCTTTACAGCAACAGGTTATGCCACATATTTAATAAATATTTATGAGGCATAGGGAAGGAGTTATGTACTTCTCCCAATGTGCTCCTGGGCCTCATGACAGCCTTGTTTTGGTATGCCCTGAATTCATCTGACAGGAAAACACTGTGGGTCAAATGCAAAACATCTTCTCTTTGTCAGATTTCCCATCAGTATTGACACCATGGCATGATGGACATTGCTGCCTCTTACTGTCAACCAACATTTCCCTTGATAAGAAATTCTGCTTCTCTGTATAGCAAAGATACTGTATGTTATTGGTAGGGCTAGGAGTGTTTCCATAACCTGATCAGGAAACCTCTGGGCCCTTAATATTGGTTCACCAGGCCCAAGGTGACAGCGGGAGCTCGTTGGCTGCAGTACCTCTGCGCTCCATGTGGAGGAGCTGTCTATGGGGTCGTTGTTGTCGTAACCTTGGTTGTCCACGGCCTCCATCTCCAGGCTCCCCTCAGTGGCCTGGCGGCTCATGTCCAGCGAGCCCTCCCGTGGTGGACCGTCCAGACCCTCAGCCGTTTCCTGGGACCCCAGGGAGCCCCGCTTCTCATCCCCATACGACAGGGGGTCCTGGTAACTCAGCCTGCGCACGTCTCTATCCACGTCTGGGGAGGATCACAGCAGGGCTTCATGAAGACACAATATCACATGGAAACACACAGCACACACTCACACTGGGATATTTTGTATGGTATGCAGTCTGCAACAGGACAGACTTCCCTTAATAAAACATATCCGACAGAACAGACTTAAGTTCTGTAATAAAACATTATCATGAAACACATCCTTGGGATATAAGATACAAGCCATCCATGACTGTGTGTATGACAAAGTCATTGAATGCATGTTAAAAACATAAGCAATCCCAAGCATTCTATTTGAACAGAAATTGCATAACATGTCAGAAACCTATTCCTTGATTGAAGGTGGCTTGTACAGATGGTACCATGAGCTGATCAACGGCAATTAACTCCACAGTATGACTCATCAGTATGTATTGTGTGTTCCCAGGTTCGATCAGATCACTAGTTATATCATAACTCCAGAGGTCACATGCTGGCTGGAACAAGGAAACGTGCTAAAGGAAACCAGGAAGTCATTAGGGTCACTAAGGCATTGAGAACCATAGAAATATAATTAATAGAACGCGATTGGAAGCTCTAACCCTGGCAATTTGACTGGTAAACTCATGGGTACACTCGCAATGACTGCCTAGTATTGATATGCAATAATTTCCATGGTAATTTGGAATGTTCTATCAATTTATGCTGGTTTGCCATGGTAATGTAGAATGTTTATTCAAATGATGCTAACTGTGGTAATGTCAGTTGAGTTTACTCAACAAATCACAGCACAGATTGAAGGGTACACTTCCTGCTTTTATTTCCCGGCATGGGTACACTCAAAATGGCTGCCAGTCCACCCATTATGCCATCATTGACTTGAATGGGGACGTCGGTTCTATTCATTATATTTCTATGTTGTGAACCTCCATGACAGGATGTCAGTCATACAAACAAATGGCCTCTTTGTTCAATAAAACAATTTAATTCACTGACAAAATGAGGCATAGTCAGGGATTCATTATGCCAGGGGCATCTAATAGGGGCTCTAATGCCCACTTAGCCTTTATCTGTATTCTTTATGTACCAATAACTAGTGGTGAAAGAGGGGGTTGGGTGGGTAAATCCCCCCTTATCTTCCAGGGCCATGACATCTGTATAATGCCTGGGTCTGCTGTGACTACTTACACTGATCCTTCTTATAGCGTGTCTAAGACACCAGCCACCATTTGAGTCCAAACAAGTCATTCATTAATCTAAGGACCCAGAGCGCTATCTGACTATCTCTACATTGATCCCAAGAGATTGGTCCAATCAAGTTTAGCCTGAGCTCTTTACAGACAGTAATCTGTGATGAAATGTTATTTTTGGGCTCTGGAGCAGTGGGTTGATTGATTTACATGCTGCTGGATTAGAGGGTTAGAATGTGTGTCTCTGTGTGTGTAATGTATGTACATTGAGGGAAAAAAGTATTTGATCCCCTGCTGATTTTGTACGTTTGCCCACTAACAAAGAAATGATCAGTCTATCATTTTAATGGTAGGTTTATTTGAACAGTGAGAGACAGAATAACAACAAAAAAATCCAGAAAAACGTATTTAAAAAATGTTATAAATTGATTTACATTTTAATGAGGGAAATAAGTATTTGACCCCCTCTCAATCAGAAAGATTTCTGGCTCCCAGGTGTCTTTTACACAGGTAACGAGCTGAGATTAGGAGCACACTCTTAAATGGAGTGCTCCTAATCTCAGCTTGTTACCTGTATAAAAGACACCTGTCCACAGAAGCAATCAATCAATCAGATTCCAAACTCTCCACCATGGCCAAGACCAAAGAGCTCTCCAAGGATGTCAGAGACAAGATTGTAGACCTACACAAGGCTGGAATGGGCTACAAGACCATCGCCAAGCAGCTTGGTGAGAAGGTGACAACAGTTGGTGCGATTATTCGCAAATGGAAGAAACACAAAAGAACTGTCAATCTCCCTCAGCCTGGGGCTCCATGCAAGATCTCACCTCGTGGAGTTGCAATGATCATGAGAACGGTGAGGAATCAGCCCAGAATTACACGGGAGGATCTTGTCAATGATCTCAAGGCAGCTGGGACCATAGTCACCAAGAAAGCAATTGGTAACACACTACGCCGTGAAGGACTGAAATCCTGCAGCGCCCGCAAGGTCCCCCTGCTCAAGAAAGCACATATGCAGTCCCGTCTGAAGTTTGAAAATGAACATCTGAATGATTCAGAGGAGAACTGGGTGAAAGTGTTGTGGTCAGATGAGACCAAAATCGAGCTCTTTTGCATCAACTCAACTCGCCGTGTTTGGAGGAGGAGGAATGCTGCCTATGACCCCAAGAACACCATCCCCACCGTCAAACATGGAGGTGGAAACATTATGCTTTTAGGGTGTTTTTCTGCCAAGGGGACAGGACAACGTCACCGCATCAAAGGGATGATGGACGGGGCCATGTACCGTCAAATCTTGGGTAAGAACCTCCTTCCCTCAGCCAGGGCATTGAAAATGGGTCGTGGATGGATATTCCAGCATGACAATGACCCAAAACACACGGCCAAGGCAACAAAGGAGTGGCTCAAGAAGAAGCACATTAAGGTCCTGGAGTGGCCTAGCCAGTCTCCAGACCTTAATCCCATAGAAAATCTGTGGAGGGAGCTGAAGGTTCGAGTTGCTAAACGTCAGCCTCAAAACCTTAATGACTTGGAGAAGATCTGCAAAGAGGAGTGGAACAAAAACCCTCCTGAGATGTGTGCAAACCTGGTGGCCAAATACAAGAAACGTCTGACCTCTGTGATTGCCAACAAGGGTTTTGCCACCAAGTACTAAGTCCTGTTTTGCAGAGGGGTCAAATACTTATTTCCCTCATTAAAATGCAAATCAATTTATAACATTTTTTACATGCGTTTTTCAGGATTTTTTTATTGTGATTCTGTCTCTCACTGTTCAAATAAACCTACCATTAAAATTATAGACTGATCATGTCTTTGTCAGTGGGCAAACGTACAAAATCAGCAGGGGATCAAATACTTTTTCCCCCTCACTGTATGTATGTATCTACAGTGAGGGAAAAAAGTATTTGATGTCAAAAATGTTATAAATTGATTTGTATTTTAATGAGGGAAATAAGTATTTGACCCCTCTGCAAAACAGGACTTAGTACTTGGTGGCAAAACCCTTGTTGGCAATCACAGAGGTCAGACATTTCTTGTAGTTGGCCACCAGGTTTGCACACATCTCAGGAGGGATTTTGTCCCACTCCTCTTTGCAGATCTTCTCCAAGTCATTAAGGTTTCGAGGCTGACGTTTGGCAACTCGAACCTTCAGCTCCCTCCACAGATTTTCTATGGGATTAAGGTCTGGAAACTGGCTAGGCCACTCCAGGACCTTAATGTGCTTCTTCTTGAGCAACTCCTTTGTTGCCTTGGCCATGTGTTTTGGGTCATTGTCATGCTGGAATACCCATCCACAACCCATTTTCAATGCCCTGGCTGAGGGAAGGAGGTTCTCACCCAAGATTTGACGGTACATGGCCTCGTCCATTGTCCCTTTGATGCGGTGAAGTTGTCCTGTCCCCTTAGCAGAAAAATACTCTGTTTCCACCTCCATGTTTGACGGTTTCGATAGTGTTCTTGGGGTCATAGGCAGCATTCCTCCTCCTCCAAACACAGCGAGTTGAGTTGATGCCAAAGAGCTCGATTTTGGTCTCATCTGACCACAACACTTTCACCCAGTTCTCCTCTGAATCATTCAGATGTTCATTGGCAAACTTCAGACGGGCCTGTATATGTGCTTTCTTGAGCAGGGGGCCCTTGCGGGCACTGCAGGATTTCAGTCCTTCACGGCGTAGTGTGTTACCAATTGTTTTCTTGGTGACTATGGTCCCAGCTGCCTTGAGATCATTGACAAGATCCTCCCGTGTAGTTCTGGGCTGATTCCTCACCGTTCTCATGATCATTGCAACTCCACGAGGTGAGATCTTGCATGGAGCCCCAGGCCGAGGGAGATTGACAGTTATAATGTGTTTCTTCCATTTGCGAATAATCGCACCAACTGTTGTCACCTTCTCACCAAGCTGCTTGGCGATGGTCTTGTAGCCCATTCCAGCCTTGTGTAGGTCTACAATCTTGTCCCTGACATCCTTGGAGAGCTCTTTGGTCTTGGCCATGGTGGAGAGTTTGGAATCTGATTGATTGATTGCTTCTGTGGACAGGTGTCTTTTATACAGGTAACAAGATGAGATTAGGAGCACTCCATTTAAGAGTGTGCTCCTAATCTCAGCTCGTTACCTGTATAAAAGACACCTGGGAGCCAGAAATCTTTCTGATTGAGAGGGGGTCAAATACTTATTTCCCTCATTAAAATGCAAATTAATTTATAACATTTTTGACCTGCATTTTTTTCGTTTTTTGTTGTTGTTATTCTGTCTCTCACTGTTCAAATAAACCTACCATTAAAATTATAGACTGATCATTTCTTTGTCAGTGGGCAAACGTACAAAATCAGCAGGGGATCAAATACTTTTTTCCCTCACTGTATGTATGTATGTGTGCGTGTACCTTCACAGTCTGAGGGCTCTGTGCTGACTTCCTACTGGTCAGAAAGAAGGCGGGTGAACTTGCAGCGTTTTCCCAGTGTAGCCTGGGCTACAACCTCGGTGGTCCCCATAGAGCGGAAACTCTGAGAGCGAGACACAGAGATCTCAAATTGTCTCACAATCACGTCCTCACCGTCTGACGAGCTGGACTGATCATCATCACCCCCATAGCTGTTCACTGGATAGAGATCACACACACAGGGTTAGAGAGTTCACAAAGAGAAGGAGAGAAGGTACAGGCAGGAGAGCTACTACGGAGCCGAATGAGTGAGGGCAAGACAAATACATGAATTAATTCAAAGAACACTTTACAAAACGATCACAAGCACGACCCGCATATCCAAATTACACTGAACAAAAATATAAACGCAACATGTAAAGTGTTGCTCCCATGTTTCATGAGCTGTAATAAAAGATCCCAGACATTTTCCATACGCACAAAAAGCGTATTTCTCTCAAATTTTGTGCACACATTTGTTAACATCCCTGTTAGTGAGCATTTATCCTTTGCCAAGATAATCCATCCCCCTGACAGGTGTGAAATATCAAGAAGCTGATTAAACAGCATTATCATTACACAGGTGCACCTTGTGCTGGGGACAATAAAAGGTCACTAAAATTTGCAGTTTTGTCACACAACACAAGATGTCTCAAGTTTTGAGGGAGTGTGCAATTGGCATGCTGACTGCAGGACTGTTCACCAGAGCTGTTGCCCAGAGAATTGAATGTTCATTTCTCTACCATAAGGTACTTCCAATGTCGTTTTAGAGAATTTGGCAGTCACCCAGACAGCTGATCAAACTGTGGTTTGGGTGTGCACAACCAAATAATTTCTTCACAAACTGTCAGAAACTGTCTCAGGGAAGCACATCGGCGTGCTCGTCGTCCTCACCAGCATCTTGACCTGACGGCAGCTTGGCGTCGAAACCAACTTCAGTGGGCCAACGCTCACCTTCGATGGCCACTGGCACGCTGGAGAAGTGTGCTCTTCAAGAAATGAATCCCGGTTTGAACTGTACTGGGCAGATTGCAGACAGCGTGTATGGTGTCGTGTGGGCGAGTGACCCATGGTGGCGCTATGGGCAGGCATAAGCTATGGACAACGAACAAAATATAATTTTATTGATGGCAATTTGAATGCACAGAGATAGCGTGACGAAATCCTGCGGCCCATTGTCGTGCCATTCATCCGCCGCCATCACCTCATGTTTCAGCATGATAATGCACGGCCCCATGTCGCAAGGATCTGTACACAATTCCTGGAAGCTGAAAATGTCCCAGTTCTTCCATGGCCTGCATACTCAGCAGACATGCCACCCATTGAGCATGTTTGGAATGCTCTGGATCGACGTGTAGGACAGCATGTTCTAGTTCCCGCCAATATCCAGCAACTTCACACGGCCATTGAAGAGGAGTGGGACAACATTCCACAGGCCAGGCCTCCCGAGTGGCACAGTGGTCTAAGGCACTGCATTTCAGTGCTAGCTGTGCCACTAGAGATCCTGGTTCGAGTTCAGGATCTGTCGCTGTCGGCCGCGACCAGGAGACCCATGGGGCGGCGCACAATTGGCCCAGCGCCGTCCAGGGTAGGGGACGGTTTGGCCGGCAGGGATGTTCTTGTCCCATCGCGCACTAGCGACTCCTGTGGCGGGCCGGGCGCAGTGCGCGCTAACTCGGTCGCCAGGTGTACGATGTGTCCTCCGGCACATTGGTGCGGCTGGCTTCCGGGTTAAGCGGGGACTGTGTCAAGAAGCAGTGCGAATCGGTTGGGTTGTTTCGGAAGACGCATGACTCTCGACCGTCGCCTCTCCCGTGTCCGTACGGGAGTTGCAGCGATGGGACAAGACTGTAACTACCAATTGGATACCACGAAATTGGGGAGAAAAAGGGGGTAAAATAAAATAAAATAAAATAAAAATTCCACAGGCCAAAATCAACAGCCTCATCAACTCTATGCGAAGGAGATGTGTCACGATGAAGAAAGTAAATGGTGGTCACACCAGATACTGATTGGTTTTCTGATCCACTCCCCTAACTTTTTTTAAAAGGCACACTATACAGTGCATTGGGAAAGTATTCAGACCCTTTGACTTTTTCCACATTTTGTTATGATACAGTCTTAATCTAAAATTGATTACATTGTTTTCCCCCCTCATCAATCTACACACAATACCCTATAATGACAAAGCAAAAATAGGTTTTTAGAAATTTTGGCAAATGTATTACAGATCAAAAACTGAAATATTACATTTACATAAGTATTCAGACCCTTTACTTAGTACTTTGTTGAAGCACCTTTGGCAGCGATTACAGCCTTAAGTCTTCTTGGCTATGACGCTACAAGCTTGGCACACCTGTATTTGGGGAGTTTCTTCCAGTCTTTTCTGCAATTCCTCTCAAGCTCTGTCAGGTTGGATGGAGAGCGTAGCTGCACAGCTATTTTCAGGTCTTCAAAGATGTTTGATTGAGTTCAAGTCCAGGCTCTTGCTGGGCTACTCAAGGACATTTAGAGACTTGTCCCGAAGCCACTCCTGCGTGTCTTGCCTGTGTGCTTAGGGTCGTTGTCTTGTTGGAAGGTGAACCTTCGCCCCAGTCTGAGGTCCTGAGCGCTCTGGAGCAGGTTTTCATCAAGGACCTCTCTGTACTTTGCTCCGTTCATCTTTCCCTCGATCTTTACTAGTCTCCCAGTCCCTGCCGCTGAAAAACATCCCCACAGCATGATGCTGCCACCACCATGCTTCACTGTAGGGATGGTGCCAGGTTTCCTCCAGATGTGATGCTAGGCATTCAGGGCAAAGTGTTCAATATTGGTTTCATCAGACCAGAGAATCTTGTTTCTCATGGTCTGAGAGTCCTTTAGGTACCTTTTCGTAAACTCCAAGCGGGCTGTCATGTGCCTTTTACTGAGGAGTGCTTTCCATTTGGCCACTCTACCATAAAGGCCTGATTGGTGGAGTGCTGCAGAGACGGTTGTCCTTCTGGAAGGTTCTTCCATCTCCACAGAGGAACTCTGGAGCTCTGTCAGAGTGACCATCAGGTTTTTGGTCACCTCCCTGACCAAGGCGCTTCTCCCCCTGATTGCTCAGTTTGGCCCGGGCGGCCAGCTCTAGGAAGTCTTGGTGTTCCATTTAAGAATAATGGAGGCCAATGTGTTCTTGGGGACCTTCAATGCTGCAGACATTGTTTTGTACCCTTCCCCAGATCTGTGCCTCGACACAATCCTGTCTCGGCGCTCTACGGACAATTCCTTCGACCTCATGGCTTGGTTTTTGCTCTGACATGCACTGTCAACTGTGGGACCTTACATAGACAGGTGTGTGCCTTTCCAAATCATGTCCAATCAATTGAAATGACCACAGGTGGACTCCAATCAAGTTGTAGAAACATCTCAAGGATGATCAATGGAAACAGGATTCACCTGAGCTCAATTTCGAGTCTCATAGCAAAGGGTCTGAATAATTATGTAAATAAGGTGTCTGTTTATTTTTTATACATTTGCAAACATTTCTAAAAACCTGTTTTCGCTTTGTCATTAATGTGTATTGTGTGTAGATTGATGAGGAACATTGTTATTTAATCAATTTTAAAATAAGGCTGTAACGTAACAAAATGTGGAAAAAGGGAAGAGGTCTGAATAATTTCCCGAATGCATTGTATATACAAAAGTATGTGGACACCCCTTCAAATTAGTGGAATTGGCTATTTCAGCCACACCTGTTGCTGACAGGTGTTTAAAATCAAGGACACAGCCATGTATTCTCCAAAGACAAACATTGGCAGTAGAATGCCCGTACTGAAGAGCTCTGTGACTTTCATTGCGGCATAGGATGCCACCTTTCCAAAAAGTCAGTTCGTCAAATTTCTGCCCAGCAAGAGCTGCCCCGGTCACCTGTAAGTGCTGTTATTGTGAAGTGGAAACGTCTAGGAGCAACAACAGCTCAGCCGCGAAGTGTAGGCCTCACAAGCTCACAGAACAGGACCGACGAGTGCTGAAGTGTGTAGCGTGTAATAATCGTCTGTCCTCGGTTGCAACACTCACTACCGAGTTCCAAACTGCCTCTGGAAGCAACGTCAGCACAATAACTGTTCTTCGGGAGCTTCATGAAATGGGTTTCCATGGCCTAGCAAAGATGGCCTAAAAGATCACCATGCGCAATGCCAAGCATCGGCTGGAATGGTGTAAAGCTCACCGCCATTGGACTCTGGAGCAGTGGAAAAGCGTTCTCTGGAGTGATGAATCTCGCTTCAGCATCTGGCAGTCCAACAGACGAATCTGGGTTTGGCGGATGCCAGGAGAACGCTACTTGCCTCAATGCATAGTGCCAATTGTAACGTTTGGTGGAGGAGGAATAATGGTCTGGGGCTGTTTTTCATAGTTCGGGCTAGGCCCCTTAGTTCCGGTGAAGGGAAATCTTAACGCTACAGCATACAATGACATTCTAGATGATTTTGGGGGGGAAGGCCCTTTTCTGTTTCAAGCATGACAATGCCCAGTGCACAAAGCGAGGTCCATACAGAAATTGTTTGTCGAGATCGGTGTGGAAGAACTTGACTGGCATGCACAGAGCCCTGACCTCAACCCCATCGAACACCTTTGGGATGAATTGGAACACAGACTGCGAGCCAGGCCTAATCGTCCAACATCAGTTCCCGACCTCACTAATGCTCTTGTGGCTGAATGGAAGCAAATGCCCGCAGCAATGTTCCAACATCTAGTGGAAATCCTTCCCAGAAGAGTGGAACTCCATATTAATGCCCATGATTTTGGAATGAGATGTTCGACGAGCAGGTGTCCACATACTTTTGGTCATGTAGTGTATCTGTGACCAACAGATGCATATCTGTATTCCCAGTCATGTGAAATCCATAGATTAGGGCCTAATGAATTTATTTTAATTGACTGATTTCCTTATATGAACTGTAACTCAGTAAAATCTTTGAAATCGTTGCATGTTGCATTTATATTTTTGGTGAGTGTTGGAGGCCTGAGACTTCAGTGTCAGTCAGTGAATCTACCATGCTATGGAGCCAGGACAAGGAAAGCAGGAGAGAAGTGCCAGCTGTACATACCCATAGCATTACAAATCACATAAACTGTTACCTTTTAGTCTGTCTGTCTCTAAAAACAAAGCATTTATCTGAACACCACTAGTTCCACCAGTGATGGACAGACAGACAGACTGACAGTAACTTGGTTATGTAAGTGTCTGTTGACAGATTGATTGAGGCTGTAATGGAGACGTCTCTGGCCCCGTCTCCCTCATCAGTGTAGGTCACCCAGTACAACCCGTCCCTCTTTAATGCAACCATCCATCATCATGTTAACCCAGGATGGCTCTAGTGAGTGGGCGAGGCCACTGATTGATTTCTTGTGGCCCTGCTCACCTCTCGTGTTCAACGCGTCTCCACGGCTGCAGTAGCAAGAGCCGTCTAATCATTAGCCTTATACAGTGAGGGAAAAAAGTATTTGATCCCCTGCTGATTTTGTACGTTTGCCCACTGACAAAGAAATTATCAGTCTATAATTTTAATGGTAGGTTTATTTGAACAGTGAGAGACAGAATAACAACAAAAAAATCCAGAAAAACGCATGTAAAAAATGTTATAAATTGATTTGCATTTTAATGAGGGAAATAAGTATTTGACCCCTCTGCAAAACATGACTTAGTACTTGGTGGCAAAACCCTTGTTGGCAATCACAGAGATCAGACGTTTCTTGTAGTTGGCCACCAGGTTTGCACACATCTCAGGAGAGATTTTGTCCCACTCCTTTGCAGATCTTCTCCAAGTCATTAAGGTTTCGAGGCTGACGTTTGGCAACTCGAACCTTCAGCTCCCTCCACAGATTTTCTATGAGATTAAGGTCTGGAGACTGGCTAGGCCACTCCAGGACCTTAATGTGCTTCTTCTTGAGCCACTCCTTTGTTGTCTTGGCCGTGTGTTTTGGGTCATTGTCATGCTGGAATACCCATCCACGACCCATTTTCAATGCCCTGGCTGAGGGAAGGAGGTTCTCACCCAAGATTTGACGGTACATGGCCCCGTCCATCGTCCCTTTGATGCGGTGAAGTTGTCCTGTCCCGTAGTAGAAAAACACCCCCAAAGCATAATGTTTCCACCTCCATGTTTGACGGTGGGGATGGTGTTCTTGGGGTCATAGGCAGCATTCCTCCTCCTCCAAACACGGCGAGTTGAGTTGATGCCAAAGAGCTCCATTTTGGTCTCATCTGACCACAACACTTTCACCCAGTTATCTACTGAATCATTCAGATGTTCATTGGCAAACTTCAGACGGGCATGTATATGTGCTTTCTTGAGCAGGGGGACCTTGCGGGCGCTGCAGGATTTCAGTCGTTCACGGCGTAGTGTGTTACCAATTGTTTTCTTGGTGACTATGGTCCCAGCTGCCTTGAGATCATTGACAAGATCCTCCCGTGTAGTTCTGGGCTGATTCCTCACCGTTCTCATGATCATTGCAACTCCATGAGGTGAGATCTTGCATGGAGCCCCAGGCCGAGGGAGATTGACAGTTATAATGTGTTTCTTCCATTTGCAAATAATCGCACCAACTGTTGTCACCTTCTCACCAAGCTGCTTGGCGATGGTCTTGTAGCCCATTCCAGCCTTGTTTAGGTCTACAATCTTTTCCCTGACATCCTTGGAGAGCTCTTTGGTCTTGGCCATGGTGGAGTTTGGAATCTGATTGATTGATTGCTTCTGTGGACAGGTGTCTTTTATACAGGTAACAAACTGAGATTAGGAGCACTCCCTTTAAGAGTGTGCTCCTAATCTCAGCTCGTTACCTGTATAAAAGACACCTGGGAGCCAGAAACCTTTCTGATTGAGAGGGGGTCAAATACTTATTTCCCTCATTAAAATGCAAATCAATTTATAACATTTTTTGACATGCGTTTTTCTGTATTTTTTTGTTGTTATTCTGTCTCTCACTGTTCAAATAAACCTACCATAAAAATTATAGACTGATCATTTCTTTGTCAGTGGGCAAACGTACAAAATCAGCAGGGGATCAAATACTTTTTTCCCTCACTGTATGTATCACACAGTTATCACTATTAGAACGTTCTGACCGCGCTCAGCGCCACTCCAACCTCGGTACTCCACCATTACCTCAATCACTCTGAGGCTTATCAGCGCACTCATTACTGCTCTCAGGACCATTGTCACATCCTAATATTTATTCCTGCAGAGCCCTCATCACTACACTAAAGCCCTCGTAACCTGCGCAGAAGAACCCTCAATGCAGGTTTCCAATGCAGGTTCTTTTGACTGCAATGTGAGATGCAAGAGGCGAAAACAATGTGAAAAGGTTCATCTCCACAATACTGAGAAGACCTGTGGTTACAGGCACAGAGAGCTGCACAAACACAGCCATCAAGGTATGCAAATGCATATGGTTGAGGGCCACTCCTGAAGTGAATGACCTTGAAAGTATTTATCAGTGCTTTCTGTCTCCATGTGATGGCTGTAGCGTGCGTTGGAGAGCTCATTTAGAAGGCCACTCAGAGCCCACGTCTAAAAGCAGGCCACTCTCAAGCTTCTTAGCAAAGAGCAATTTCTCAAGCAATAGTTTGCTAGGACTGTCTGGGAGTGGTCTGAGTGAGTAGCGGAAAACTGAAAACTAGCTGTTATTGGCAGAGAGATTTGGAATTCTTTCTTATTGGTCTATTAACTCCATTCCACCAAAACAGGCTGAAGTTTCAGGCAGTCTTTTCAAACAGCTCTCACACTAAATGAGCATTATCATTATATTCACAATTTCACAGTATTATTCTAACCTCATAGGGTGGAAATATATGTAAAAACACAGGAAAATCACATTTTGGACGGCACTGGGCCTTTAAGAACTTTTATGCCTTAGGGTTTAGTACACTGCCACACTGGTATTTAGTAGGCCTAACCCAAGAATTAAAGCAATTTTAGAATTTTCTAGCATCCTCTCCAGCAGGCATGCCAGCTAGGAAAGTTAGAAAAGCTACTCTATCTTGATTGATAGCCTGAAATTGCTTGGTAGCTAGTTATGAGGTTGGGAGATTGGGAACCTATCTAGCTGGCTAGCTAAAGCCAACTTCATAAAATTGCTAGGTGGCTAGTATTACAGAGATACCACAAAATATTTTTGTTTTATTTATTCATCAAGAAGAAATCAATAGACTACTGTACATAGCTTCATTTACAAAAATACCTCCTGCGAGTCCTGCCCATCACCGGCAGCTAAAATCAAATCAAACGCTGTGTGTTACTCAACAGTCTCTCTCCTCCTCCACTGACAATACTGTCTGCACACACTAGAGCAGGGGTGTCAAATGTCCGGCCCGCAAACGGGTTTAATCCGGCCCGCGAGATGATTTTGTAAAGTATAAAAATGAGCTGCAATTTTTCAATAAAGGAAACTGCTGTTCCAATTGTGTCCACTGGATGGCGCAATAGCAATTGTGTTAAGCAAGCAAACTGTTTATACCGGGGCAGAGTAAATAGGTCAAGCAAGTGCAGCCAGTCCGGATGAGCTACTTTGTTTTGCCCGCGATATTTATTACGGCTTCTACTTTTAACATTATGTGCTTTGGCACCCTCATTGCCCCAATATGTCTCTGTCAAAAAAGAGAAAAGTGGACGCAGAGTGCAGAGTGTTCCAAGAAAAATTGTCATCCTTCTATTTATTCACGGAATTGAATGGGAAAGCTGTATGTTTGGTGTGTTCACAGCATGTTGCAGTGCTGAAAGAATATAACCTTCGTCGCCACTATGTGAGTCTTCATGCCGACAAATATGACAACTTTCAAAGACAGCGGAGAAGAGAGAAGGTGAATGAACTGTTGGTGGGTCTGAAGAAACAGCAGTCTGTGTTTACTCACAGCCGAGACATCAGTGACGCTGCAGTGAAAGCTAGCTACCTCATTGCTAATGAAATCGCAGTGGCTTCAAAACCATTTAGTGAGGGTGAATTTGTAAAAACATGCATGATGAAGGCAGCAGAGATTGTGTGCCCTGAAAAGCACCAGGCTTTTGCAAATATCAGCCTGACAAGAAACACAGTTGCAGACAGGATTTCCGATCTTTCAGTGGATTTGTACAGCCAGTTGAAGCAAAAAGTAAAGTCATTTATTGCGTTTTCGGTTGCAATTGATGAAAGCACGGACATTACAGATGTTGCACAACTGGCCATTTTCATCCGCGGAGTTGATGACACATTGACCGTCACCGAGGAGTTCGTGGAGTTGGTGCCGATGACAGATACAATGACAGCAGCTGATATTTTCACTGCACTCGTCGGCGCGCTGGACAGGGTCGGAGTGGACTGGTCCCGCGCTGTCAGCCTGGCTACAGATGGTGCGCCCTCAATTATCGGTAAAAAAGCAGGCGTTGTGACAAAGTTCAGAGAGAAAGTGCAATCTGCAAATGGAGGACGTGATTTTTGGACTTTTCACTGTATTTTGCACCAGGAGGCTTTGTGTTGCAAGTCATTAAAGATGGATAACGTCATGAAGGTGGTCATCCAAACTGTTAATTTCATCCGATCCAGAAGCCTGAATCACCGTCAGTTTGACAGCCTTCTCAGAGAGAAAGACCACATCTATGGCCTGCCATACCACACTGAGGTAAGATGGTTAAGCCGAGGTGCTGTGCTGAGGCGTTTCTTTGATTTACGAGAAGAAATTGAACAGTTCATGGAAGAAAAGGGCAAACCAGTGTTAGAATTTAATTCCGCAGAATGGATGCAGGACCTTGCATTTATGGTGGATGTTACAGAGCACCTGAATAACTTGAACAAACAGCTGCAAGGGCGCAACAAAGTTGCCACGCAGTATTATGACAGCATACGTTCTTTCAAGTTGAAGCTGTCATTGTGGGAGACGCAACTCGCCGGTGGTGATGCAGCTCACTTCCCCTGTCTGAAAAATGTGTGCGCGACCCAACATGTGGCAGACATGAAGCGGTTCAAAGATAAAATAACGGGACTGTTAAGGGAGTTTGAGCAACGCTTTCAGATTTTTGGTGAACTGGAGAAAGACTTCAACGTTTTTTGTTCGCCATTCACCTTGAATCCCTCGGATTTGAAGGGCAAATTTGCCGCAGCTGGCTTGGACACATTTTATCAGAATCTCTTGCCAGGTTACCCCAACTTGACAGCCCTCGCTGCAAAACTGTTGTGCATGTTTGGAACCACATAACTTTGTGAGCAAGTTCTCTGTAATGAGCATAAATAAAACAAAGCTGCGCTCAAGGCTCACACACAAGCACTTGAATCACATCCTGAAGTTGGCTGCCACTCAGGATGTGACGCCTGATATTGATGCGCTGGTGAAAGCTAAAAGTTGCCAGGTATCAGGAGTCAAATAAACTATGCAACCCCACTTAAAGTGCTGCATGAGACACCCTGATATAGTTCTGTGATCTGTGATATACTTCTGTGAATCACTGAGGCATTGTGTGTTTGTGTGTTGTTTGTCCTCAGAATTTCAAATAACTTGAGGTGTTTTATGATTAATAGTGATGTTGTGCTTTTGGACACACTGTCCTCAGGCTCCAGCTTTATGTTTATATGTTTTTATGTTGATGTGCTATTGTTTTTAATTGATTTTATTTTATTTGTATATTTAACCTATTCTTGACTCTGTGGTTGTTGCACTTGTTTGGGGAACAGGATTTCATTATTTGTATCTACATTTCTGCCTGAGAAATGACACCCTGATATAGTTCTGTGATCTGTGAAACAGTTCTGTGAATCACTGAGGCATTGTGTGTTTGTGTGTTCTTTTTCTTTAGAATTTTCAAATAAACTTGAGGTGTTTTATGATTAATAGTGATGTTGTGCTTGTACTATTTTGGACACACTGTCCTCAGGCTCCAGCTTTATGTTTTATGTTGATAGTATTAAAACAAAGAAAACAATCTGAAGTTGTTGTTTTTAAGTTATATATACCATGATTTTACCGGTCCGGCCCACTTGGGAATAGATTTTCCTCCATGTGGCCCCTGAGCTAAAATGAGTTTGACACCCCTGCACTAGAGTATCTAGAGTCCTGCCTAGCATATCTTTGCTCTGTGGTGCACCTTGGAAGGAACCACTTACTAGGGAGAATAGGGGAGGGGTACTCTTTTCTTTGTCCAGTCAGTGTGCCTCCTCCGCAAAATACTGCTGACAGATCTTTTTATAAATAATTATGATAAAACATGGGCTTAAAAATTAAGTTGAGTAATTAATTTAACATATGGAACATTAAAAAAAGAGGACAATTCTAAGGGGGCATGTGCCTTTGTGCCCCCTACAGTAGAGCAGAGCTCCATACAATTCTCACTCAACAGTGTGTGTGTGTTTGTGTGTGTGTGTGTGTGTCTCTGGCCCTGTCTTTCCTCAGGAGATGGATGTCAATACTCCTCTGAATGAAAGAGTCCCTATAGAGAGCAGCACTTACTCAATACAGTGAGGAGAAAGAGGGAAAGCAGGCCATTTCATTGGTGATCAATACCAGAACAAATGCAGGGTAGCTTGTATGCTCACAAGGAAGGAACCTTGAAGTCTGGGTGTTTTCTGGGTGTTATTTGTACTTTCCCATCCCTCAGAGGTCTGTGTTTATGTGTCACCCACACACCTTCACACACACACACGTTCTAACTATTTCCGTAAATGAGGTAGTTGGTTGGGCTAATTACAGTTGGGCTGTGTACAGGTGCAGTGATCGTAAGCTGCTCTGACACCTGATGCTTAAAGTTAGTGAGGGAGATTTTTGCAGTTCGTTCCAGTCATTGGCAGCAGAGAACTGGAAGGAATGGCGGCCAAAGGAGGTGTTGGCTTTGGGGATGACCAGTGAGATATACCTGCTGGAGCGCATACTACGGGTGGGTGTTGCTATGGTGACCAATGAGATAAGATAAGGCAGGGATTTGCCTAGCAGTGATTTATAGACGACCTGGAGCCAGTGGGTTTGGCAACGAATATGTAGTAAGGGCCAGCCAACGAGAGCGTACAGGTCACAATGGTGGGTAGTATATGGGGCTTTGGTGACAAAACGGATGGCACTGTGATAGACTACATCCAATTTGCTGAGTAGAGTGTTGGAGGCTATTTTGTGAATGACATCGCCAAAGTCAAGGATCGGTAGGATAGTCAGTTTTACGAGGGCATGTTTGGCAGCATGAGTGAAGGAGGCTTTGTTGCG